CCTTGAGCAATAGGATATGTAGGCAGTATTTACGATACAGCCGGTTTGTATTAGTTGATTTTGATGGGGGTGAGATTGTTTGGACTCTCGTTCGGGTTCCCGACGTGTTGCGGATTGAGTCCATTGTCGTGAATTGTTTCACGCCGTACTGGACACAACAAGTGGGACATTTGGTTGCTTTGGTGTCGGTTCAGTTTTAGAAAAACTTCGCCTATGTGGAGAATTGTGAACGCGGGTGGGGACCACGAGCGGGAGCAGCACCCGCGTGAAGAGAACACGTGAACGAAGGCCCACCCGAGATCAGTTTTTTGTTCGTACTTATAAATGCACACCAAAAATAGCCTAGGGCTTTGTGCAGGGAGTTATTTTTAGGCAGAGTTGAATTTTGCGGCTGCGGGAGAAAAAGTGCAAAAAGAAAGGAAAAAGCGGCTGCGTGCAAGGATTTTTTTCGACAGAGGTGATTGTGTGCAGTCCTTTTGTGCTTTTGAGAGAGTTTTTTTTGGCATCTCCTTTGTGAGGGATCTGAGAGATTGTTTGAGGGTTTAGGTTGTGAGATTGTAAACCCTAGTTGTATTCTCTCCCTCTAATAGTAGATTTCCCCCTTTCTTGCCCCGTGGACGTAGGCTATTTGTCGAACCACGTAAAATTAGTTTGTCTCGCTGTTTGTGGATTTGTAATAGCTTATTTAGATTCCCTCGACATGTCAGTCCTAGAACTGATGAGAAGAAGAGCTGATATCCCACTTTGTTGAGATATTTTGCTTTTGGTTCTTGTTTTCTTTGTGAAACAGGAATTCCTATTGAGACCCGACTCTCTTGTTGTGCTGTCGAAGTGTTGCCAAAATTTTCGTTGCGCGCAACAGATCTATGTCAGCATATCTAATAACCAAATAATCTTTCCTGTGCCTTAGCTCCTCTGATTTAGAAAAAATTAGCTCAGTACCCGACAATAGATGTCCATTCCTTTGTTGCTTCTGTGAGTGCTATAATTCTTTATCCAAAGGGGGGAAGGATGAAAAATACATGGAACGATGAATTTTTCTGTTGCTGAGCGTATAATCTTTAAAAGTTTCAATTTTAGTTTCTACGTGATGTCACTCAGGGAGTCTTGAACTGGCTTTCATGCATTCAGTTGTTGTTGTGTTGCTGAGAGTGTATAATTGAAGTTTCCAATTTTAGTTTCTACTTGATGTCACTCAGGCAGTCTTGAACTAGCTCTCATGCATTCAGCTCTGTCCTTCCCTCCAGTAAATTAAAACATGTTTTTGGTTGACAGAATCACACCAATGCAAGGTCCACACTCTCTCTCTCACACATTCATCAACATAAGGTCCCTTTCTCAGTCATCGAGTGAAGGTCCCATATTACTTTGCAG